TCAGATCATTATAACTGTATTAAAACAGCAGAAATCAAGTAAGTACTAACTAACATTAATACAAATACAAATACTATTGTTATTATTACAAGGGGGGGAATCCACAAGTCACCTAATGATTGTACCTCACACCTCACAATAAGGTGCTTTGGGAAGAAGAAAAAGGTAGCATCTATCTATCTACCTTATATTGATAATGTGAGTATTTTCTTTCTTTCTTGTCCTTGTCTTTATTCATATGGACTCAATATATGTACAGAAATTTGATTTTAAGATGGCAAAAATAGGTTACAAAACAGCTAAGGGGCACATCATTAGAAAGATCTTGTAATACTTTTTTTTCTTGTCTCATACTTGCTTTGTGATTGCTATCAAGTTGTATATTAATGCTATACATTTATTAAGATTATAACTTTACAAAAAGAATGTTTTTATAATTGTATACATTAATAACTATTTTATAACAGTTGTAAGTAAACAATAGTTGTTATTACTTTATTATATTGTAAGTACTACTCTGTTTTTATAATTATAATAGAAATATAATGTAAACATAATACTTTGGCTTGTCATACAAGGTTAGTATAATTAGTTTTATAGATTATATTTATCCATAGTACTTATATTGTCTTGTAATGTGTTAATATGTCTTATTTAGACATTACAATTCATCTGGAAACCTTGCAGTTACTTTATAATGTATATATAATGCTTATATTGCTTTATAATGTATATACAATGTTTATTTTGCTTTACAAAGTCTAAAATTCCATATAAGGAATGCAACTTTTTCACAATGTAGCAAGGCTCATAACCTGTTAGAACAGGGAGTTTGGAATGGCACTTTGTTAGATGTGCATATATGCACACTCTTATATACTAGATACATTGTGCTATACTAGTAATTGAGACGTAAAACGCAGTGTGTCGAATAATAACATAAGAGATAGAACACAGCAGTTAAAGCAGTGTGTGGGGACAAAGTCATGTGCTCATCACATGACCGTGCCATCGTTACGATGAGCCACCTACCACTTCTTACCATTCACTGCACGCTTGTCTGTAGACCTGGCATCATGGCACTTTTCAAAGACTATCTACGTGAACATGCTAAATTCTATTGCCCACCCGTCGACAGTCACCAGACGGGAACCACCGCCGTGACGGATACTGAACTTCAGCAGGTGTACAATCGCTGGGAATCAGATCAAACAATAATAGAAGCTCGCCATGATGCACAATTGGTTGATGCACTTATCAATGTTCTTGATGAAGAGCTTGGTGAGAAACCTACTCCAGAGCACCTCAACGGATGGCTCCAGCAACGATATTTCTTCGACATACGAGATAGCGATGTCATTACAAAGGAATCAGATGTGAGGGACACCCCTTGTCGTGAAGCCACGTTCCTCACCTTATATTCTTAGGCAAAGGCCGCTATGGAACGTGGGCCTCTGGACTTTTTAAAACACAGTATGTCAGCCTGTGGGAATCGCACCCAGATCAACAGGGATAACCCCGCTCCTAATGTCGGTAAATCTAACGTCGACTATGTATTAACCACAACGGAAGGCAAGAAGGCGTTGGCTGAAGCAAAGGCTCCGAGTATCTTTGATGAGGCTGCAGAGGAACTTCTTAAACCGTCCGATGACGAAGTCGGCTTCGAGGTGCAATTGAATTTGCGGTCACCCGAGGTAGGAATGAAAGTCATTGTCAAGGTGTGTGATCGAAGGGCATTCAAGAACTTGCTGTTGAATTAATTCTCTCAGGCGTGTGTGTACATGATGATATACAGGGTGGAGTGGCTCGCGTTGTCATGCTTTACAAAGTGGGTGTTCTTCCGACTCCACATTCGTGGTGCAGGCGAACTGCCGTACGTCACGTATTCGACTATTGAAAAGCAAGAGGACAATACCAGGCCATTCCGTGCATTGTTCGGGATGATGCTAGCTACTGCAAGGAATGTCGACGTCCCCTCCAACGCTGACATGGACGGCCAGCTTCGGCCAGCTCCAGTACAAGGAACTGAGGGACAGTCTGACGGATCCGAACCGCAGGAGCAGTGCGATCCATCTTTTAAAGGTCGAGGCCAAGTGACAAGGGCTGAGCCACCCGAAACTCGGTCTCGTAGTAGGGATGGCAATTCATTGGCTTTGTCTCCTGGCTTTCTTGTGAGATTTTTTCCAATTCATAACTTCATCGATTAAACCATTCTCAGATCACGTGGTCACCAAAAACCATGTGGAATAAGAAGTGGCTTGAATTTCATGTTGTGGACACTGATGCATTCCCGGCTTTGGAAAAAGACACCATTCGACTTTATGTTCAGCGCAGTATTGGATATGGGTCAACCGGGACTGTTTTCGAGGTGATTCCTGATGGCGATGAACAAAATGGAGCTTTAGAACGTCGGAGATATGCAATTAAGACGGTCGGGAAGGGTGATACTGACAAAGAGAAGGGTTGTGCTCGACGTCTGCTCAACGAACTCGCTATATATCGCCTCATCTGTCAGACATCCTCAGTATCTATGACGATTGTTCCACAGTGTTATGGACTTTTCGAAACAACGCGAACACTGGCATTGGTGATGGATTATGGAGGCGATGTCCTCAGTCGTAATGAGAATTGGCCAGAACTGACACGCAATGAGAGGTGAGTACAGCGGTCATTCGCGTGCGTGCAAAATTAACATCATTGAAAACGCTGTAGGCATAAGCTGTACAATGCAATATTAGCACTCCACAGACTTGGGGTTTATCATGGCGATTTGGAACCCCGGAACATTATCCGTGGCAGCGACGGATCGTTCAAAATCATCGACTTCACATCGAGCACGTTACATAACTGTGGTCAGCGTAACGTCAGTTTATTTATGATATTTCCTATGCCGTTCATTGCTCACTACTGGTAATTAGCAGGGTTGCGCAGAGTTGGCTCGAATAAGAAAGCAGCTTAGACTGTATGATGAAAGGGTCCAACTTCCAGAAAGTCGTCTTGCTCGTTCGTCTTCACCATTCCATAATGTTATGTAATGAATCAGTCAATATATTCAGTTCATTTTAATCCCCCCATTCGTCCTTTCCTGAGACGGCCAAGAGTAATCCCCGAAGGAAACGAGCATAAATGGAACGTTCAGGATGTTGAGGATACGCAATAAAAACGGTCGGGAAAGGCGAAACACTGGAAGAGCAGAGTTGTGTTTCAGCGATTTCCAATAAGCTCAATTTTGGCGTCGCATCAAATAGACATTTCCAGCGCCTCTGAAGATTGTACCACAATGCTATGATCTTTTTGAGACAACCCGAACATGGGCGTTGACTATAGCTTATGAAGGCAATATGCTTACGCGCGATGGAGATTGGTCGGAGCGGTCATCTGCTGATAGGTGAGAATAGAATCATCTGCACCATGCTTCAATTTTACTGAACAACGTTAAATGCAGGAAGTTTTCAATGCGATAACGACACTGCACAGACTTAGAGTCTATCATGACGACTTTGAGTCTCGTCATGTTGTTCAAGATTATAATTCTGATGCTGATTCTGAAAATATTGTACTGGACTATATTAATATAACTAAATTAAAATTTAACAAGCAATATAATACAAATTTTTTATTAATTATAGTAATAATAAGAAAAAAAAAGATTAAACATATACGAACAGAGTGGACAATCAGGGGATCTTGAAGAATCAATCGAAGTGCACGGTGCTGCTCTCATTCTTTGTCCCGAGGGCCATCTGGATCGGTCTCATTCATTGGGCAATCTAGCAAATTCCCTGCGCATTAGATACCAGCAAAGCAGACGATCAGAGGATCTCGAAGAATCAATCGAACTGCACCGTGCTGCTCTCACTCTTCGTACCAAGGGCCATCGGCATCGGCATTATTCATTGAACAATCTAGCAACTTCCCTGCACATTAGATACAAACAGAGTGGACGGTCAGAGGACCTCGAAGAAGCAATCGAACTGCACCGTGCTGCTCTCATTCTTCGTCCCGAGGGCCATCCGGGTCGGTCATTGACTTTGGAATGCCTCACCTATTCGTTGTTCTCTCGATACGAACAACTCGGATGTACGAATGACTTTGAAGAGTGTACGCAATTGCTTCGGCAGGCGGCAGGCCATAGATTTTCTAGTTCATTAGATCGTCTACACGCCGCTCGACAATGGGCAGATCTTGCACAGTCGCACAATCACCAAACAACTCTCACAGCATACAGAGAGGCAATGTTACTGTTGCAACAGGTTCTTACAATCAGCCCTACCCTTCATGCACAGCACGACTTTCTAATCAGAAGTCAAGGACGTGGAACCTTGGCTATGGAAGCAGCCTCCTATGCCATAGAAAAAGATGAACCTGGCCAGGCTGTCGAGCTGTTGGAGCAAGGAAGGGCGTTGCTTTGGTCACAAATGCGTGGATTTAGGACTCCTCTTGACCAGCTTGCAGAAACAAATGGAGAGCTCGTCGAAAGGTTCCGGAATGACGGTCTCCAGTAGGAGGAACTCGCAACGTCTTCAGAGGCACTACATTCCGATTCGAGTGTGTTGCTTCCACATAATATACGAAGCGAGCAGGAATCCTTCGACAAGATGATAGCCCGCCAGCGGAAGCTCACTGAAGAACAGGAGAAGCTAGTTGATGAAATACGACGAGTACCTGGGTTTGAGAACTTCCTCTGTGTTGCACCGTTCGAAACGTTGAAGCAAGTCGCTTCAGAGGGACCTGTGATTGTCATAAACCACTGCAGATATCGATGCGACGCACTCATTATCATGCCTGCTGGACATGGTCTGCCAATTGCTTGCATCCCACTGGACAATGACTTCTACATCGACTCCTGGTGGCTATCCTACGGCCTTATAGAAAAGCGTAACCGACATAAACCTGGTTCGTCTGAGTATGACAAGAAGCTTCGCGAATCGATGAAGATGATATGGGACAGGGTCGTCTGCAAAGTCGTTGATAAGCTCAAGGAGCATGGAATCACCGAAGGATCACGTATCTGGTGGTGTCCCACATCGTCCTGTCAGTGCTCCCTTTTCATGCTGCAGGTCCTTATCGTGGTGCAGCCGGAAACATGAAGTATTTACTAGATGACTACATCTCATCATACACCCCAACGCTTGGAGCACTCATCAATGCACGATCGCCCAGCACTGGGCGTGACCCGGAGATTCTTATTGTTGCAGATACCAAATCTCTTGACTGTACTGCGGCGGAAGTCAATGCTATCCGACAACGCACTCGCAACTACAAGATACTCCGTGACGACCGAGCATTACATAAAGCGGTGGTGAAAAATCTGCAGAAAGCGACATGGGTCCATTTCGCCTGTCACGGGCATCTGGACAAAAGGCCATTTGATTCTTCATTCAAACTATTCGATGGTGGCTTGACATTACTCGACGTTATCAGGGCAAACCTACCAAATGCCGAATTTGCGTTTCTCTCCGCCTGCCATACTGCTGAGCAACCACATATGGGCACATATGATGAAGTACTTCACCTAGCAGCGGCTATGCAGTTCAGTGGGTTCCGGAGTGTGATCGGCACAATGTGGGAGCTTTACGATCGGGATGGACCTTCTTTAGCGAAGGGTGTTTACGAATATCTTGCCGGGGGCGATGAGAACGAAGGGAGGTACAAGAGGGCGGCTGCAGGACTTCGTGAGGCCGTTGTGACGTTGAAATCCAAGAAAGGGATCCCGACGGAGAGATGGGTTAACATGATACACATTGGAGCTTAGCTAGCATGGTAGACCGCAGAGTCAGTCTCGAAATCTGCACAAAGTATACGAGTGTTGAAAAGGTGTTTGGACACCCATTTTTGGAAGGATCAGCATATGTTGATCACGACCTTTGCCTTACAATGTTCTTCATTTCAATGTTACAATTTTTCTTAAGTAAAATAATTTATAATAAAGTACTGAAAATTCGTGCACCATGAAATTTTACATTTTATGATGTGTATAATGTACAGAATGTACAAGGTAAATAGTCTGATTGGCACTATTGCTGTATAAGAATATGCAATCCTCTTCCGAAAACGGGTGTCTAAACACTTTTTCGGACACACCTGTAGTAAGAGAATGGGGTCTGTTCAATTACAAGGAAAATAGGGCCTTACAAAAGCATTGTCTTTGGACAGTAGGAAAACAACCGAGGTGAGATCCTATTCACGAACACAAATTTGTACATCGCCAAGAGTATCATCAATAATCACTAATTCGTCTAGAAGACAGCCGAAAGATATTTGCGAGTGCCAGCCTCCGTCTTCAGGAATGCCCCTATCATAGCATCAGGTCGTACAATCACCACCGTTGGCAAACCATCCGAAGGGTTCACACCATAATTGGTAAATGCGTGTCCCTCTGAGTCCACAACAACATACTTCATGTTGCTAGTTGAAACGTTCGACGCGTCCACACCTGCGGGGAGCACGAGTACTTTCTGTATCAATCCCGCGTCAATCGAGGAAAATGGGGCTATGGTCGCGAGTGCTTGGCCGACTTGGGATTGATCTGCTACAAACAGTAATATGGTGTGCTTTGCTGGGTTGAATATGTCGAAAAGTCGATTGGGGGCGCCCGATCCAGTGAGAGACGGTGCGTCAGGAGCACGATCTCCGGCTCGTCTTTCCGTAGTCACCAGACCATACGCATCCATAGAGGCCGGGTTGAGTTGTGGAAAACGCTCATCGATGACCACCGGGCTCCAGCGATAGTGTAGGTCGAGTTGCAGAAGTCTCCTATCACGGAACCATATATTTTCATCCTTCGTACTTTGTTGAGATTGTTTCTTAGTCGCTTCTTCGACGGATGTCTGAGTAGAGCCAGTCGTAACAAAGCTGTCAAGTAACTTGGTCGTGAGCTGTAGCATCTCCGCAATCACCGGGAGCCGCTCGCTTTCAAAGGATTCTAACAAGTGCGGTGAAGCACTTCCTTTGATTGCTAGAGCAAGCTTCCAGCCGAGGTTGAACTAACATCAGATTAGACTTTCTGAGATCAGACTGTACACTGAAACCAGAAAAGTACTCACAGCATCCTGTATACTGGAGTTCAATCCCTGCCCTCCTGTCGGAGAATGCGTGTGCGCAGCGTCTGCGGAATTGATGTCAACAGAGAGGCCTGATAATTATACCGGCAAACGTACCACCGATGATGAAAAGCCGTTCGACCTGGAAATGGTCCACCATGCGGATATTCGGTCTAAGCTAATCCGTCAGAATCATTTTTAAATAGGGAGTGCATGTTTTGCCGGACCTCCACTCGCCATGCCAAGTTATTTCAGTGACTCGAATATCAGTACGGTTCATGATCCTATGTAGTTCGTTCTGAATTGTTTGCGGGTCGTCATGTTCTCTGAGGTAGTCGTAGTTCACCCCGGGACCGGAAAAGACCGCCTGGAACAGACCAGGGTCCACCGTTTGCCTAAGCGCTACCCTGATGAAAGGTGAGCGAACTAGGTATTACCTTTGATGAAGTAAACTTACATCGCAGTCTTGTGGCTACCCCACATGCCGACGTCCTAAAAATTGAGTAGATCTCAGCAAGTATTACAAAAATCAAGTACGATTCATTTACCGTATCGACTTCGAGTCCTTCTATACGAGTATCAACAAGGTGCAGTCTTCCTTCTTCACGGGTTTCTCCCCGAAAATTAACACCCATAGCTTTCCGTACAGCACCTGAAATAGCAGTAAGTTACTTGACAGTGCAGTACGAGTGCTTGACTTACTTCGCCCACCGTCCGCACCTACGAGGTACTCGAAGTGAGCCTTTTCTGTATTCTCGACGCCATCTACCGTCTTTTGAATCACTGCCGTCACACCATTCTCGTCTTGTGTGCAGCCAATAAAAGTCGTTCCGAGCTCAATGTTTCCGCCAAGAGCTTCAACGTGCTTGCGAAGGATGGCCTGATGGCGCCATTGGCCAAGGACTACCGCTCGCGTCTTAAAAGGCTATTTAACTCTATGTTCGCATCAGCTATCCAGAAGTCTTACAATTGGGAAAGCGGGCGTTGGCTCGACGTCTTCCATCATCCCCGAAGACTGTTTGATGCGGTGAGGATCTTCCAGATCGAAAACGTTAATCGTTGCCGGTTTGGCCCCGGTCTTGCGGACGTCATTTCCAGCGCCAAGGAAATACTCGATTTCAAGCGTACGAGGCTAGAAAAAAGCAATTAGACATTGCGTACAGGGTGCAGAGATAGAGTATGTTACCATAATTCCGGGACCACGTTCGCCATTATGATGCGTTGCATCTTTCTCGATAATCCGAACGGGTATCCCGTTCTTCAGGAGTGACAGAGCGAGGCTAAGACCAGCGGGACCGGATCCAACGATAAGAATCTTAGGAGGAGATTGCATCATGTCCAAGAGGCTTGGCAGAAGCTATGAAGTGTCTTGGAACTTGTAATGCCTCATCCCTCCCAATTTAAGCAAATCCAACTATAGGACATTTCTCGCCGCCGTGGCCATTACGCATATCAACTGTGCGCGATAAGTAACATGACCAGCTGGCGCATCATTTCGTGGGCGTGCCGAAGGTGTAATGAAGAAGCGCTGAAAGTTTAATGTTGCGGATATGGGTAGTTCTCAATTCTCTGGTGAGGGCCATTGGTGATGCAGCACGGGTCGTGGTGGTGCCTGACCCATACCATCAAACTGGTTATCCGTTAGCAGAAGGATCAGATTGCAATAATTACTGTATTCGTATAATGTTCAGAGCATTGGGGAGCAATCAATGTTTCGAATAAAAATAAACAGTAGATGTAGCTTCGTGCGGACCATGCAAGAGGTGTGCTCAATCCGCACGCGTGTGGCAGAAAATCGGCGCAAAATGACTACCGTCATGGACCGTTCCTTGTAACAGTACAATTTATTTTGTAATTTTTAAAATAATTATACAAAATTTTACAAAACAAAAATTATTATAATTAAGTACATATACTAAAGTACAAATGTACCAATTTACAAGAAAAAATATTGAGAAATGAATAAGAAATAAAGTATACAATTATTAGGTCAAAACTGCATCCCACTGCTCCTTGTAACACTACTTTCCCACAGTCCTTTTTACTCCTTGTTAGAGCTATTCTCCTCATCCCCACTAATATTATCTATATCAAATGTCTCCAAATCCTCTTGATTATTTTTAGAGGGCTTTGGTTTAGGGATAGGAGGTTCAAGAGGACCTCTTTTTGGTTTATTCCACCTAATTTTCCTCTTCTCTTTCTTTGCATTCTCTTTCTCCTTCTCCCATTCTATTAACTGTGCTTTCCAATCACTAGTTAATTTAGAATTCCTTGCTTTCCTTTCAGTATTAATCCTTTCCCATTCTTTAAGCTTTTCAGAATAGCTTTGTCTAGCTATTCTTCTTTTCTCCTTTTCCTGTTCAACAGTAAGTTGGTACTGAACATATTCTTTAACTTTTTCTGTAAAGTCATCTCCTGTAAGTAACCTAGGAAGTCCATCTCCAAGAAGTCTTCCTATTCCTTTAGGAAGACTTTTAGCTTGTTCTTTAGAGAATAATTGTTTCCTAAGTCTTTCACAGTAAATGTTCTGAAGTACCATACTTGCTTGTAATCCTAATATTACCCTATATTGCTCTGCTTCTCTTTTAATATAATTTTCCAATTCATTTTGAAGTTTCTCTTCCAGTTCAGTTTCTGGAACAGAATTCAAAAGGTTTATTAGAATATTTTTAAGAGAAGACAGTTCTGGTACATGAAAAGGTAGTTGAGAAGAAGATTTAATTGGAGACTAAGAAACTAAAAATGTAGCAAATGTTTGAGATAAACCTTGTAAAGTATTACTTGATTCTTTTAAAAGAATAGAATCATTAAAGGTATTCTCATTATCTACTTGAGTTTCTGTCTCTTTCTCTTTTCCTTTATCATGTAAAGAAAGATTTTGTACTTGTATAATTAGTTTGGCAATTACTTTAACAGGTGATGGTTAAGGTAAAGGTAATCCAGAGCCTGTAGTAGAAGACTCTATACTTGGCTTTAAGAGTCTAGTATTAATTACTGCTGGATTAAATGGCCAAACACTTGTACATGAAAAAGCTTTTACTATATTCTCAGAAGTAAAGACTCTAATATGTGTAGGAGTATAAACTTGTAAAAAGTTAGCTTTACAAACTTCTACACTAGTCTCTTCTTCAAATTTATCTGAGAAATACAGTTTTTAAAATGCTAAAAATTACAACATCTAATTCTTGATAAATATGTGTTGTATGAGAGGGGTAACAGAGAACATGTATATTGTTCTCTTTACAGAAAAGGAGAAAAGGTAATAATAAATAAGATTAATGTCCATCTAGAATAAGAATTCTAGGTCTTTCATGAGCTTTATTCTTTGTAAGTTCATGAAAGTTTTTAACCCAATCAACACCAATCTCATTTTCAATATAACCCTTTTTAGAGTATCCTATACTAAAAATATTATTAGTATAATGTTTTAATATATATAATAAATAATACATACCTTACATTTAAAGGGTTATTTTGATGCTAAGAGACTTGATATCCAGCACCAGAAAAGATAACAGCAGGTGGAAGAGATGTACCATTAGTACAAATAATAGGTAAAACTGTTATTAATTGTCTTTTTCCACCTTGCTTTTGTTTTTGAGACTTTTTATCAGTTGTCCTAATAACTCTACTTTTTTTTCCAATACCAGGTACAAAGCCTGTTTCATCTGCTACATAAATACAGTCTGGTTCAGTATTAGTTTCAGTCAAAACTTTTTCTAATAATTTAAACCAGGCTGTATTTGTAACTGGGTTAATAGCTTTAGATCTTTTCCTATTAATAGATGATGATAAGAAAGTTCTAATTCTATCTGAGTGTTTTTTAATAAATCTGTCAACCCAGTTAGTACCTAGACCTGTAAAATCATTTCCAGGTCTAGCTTTTAATACATGCTCTACTGCCTCTTTAAGTGTTTTATGAGTAAGAGGTATAGCTCTTTCAGAAAACTCTTTAGTAAGTTGAATAAGTTTATCTACTTCTTCAAGTAAGAGCCAACCTTTTTCCTCATTAAACTTACTTAAAGATTTTTTTCCAGAAGTATGTCTTAGAAGTGTATTATAATTGAGAGTGACAAGCTTGCCTGTTTCTTTCTCATATTCATTTGACACTTCTGTACAAATAGTTCTAGCTCCTTTCCTATCTTTTTCAGGTTTTTGGAGCTCTAAGAGATATAATTTAACAGCTTTAGCTATTAAATTATCTCTTATTTCTCTTGCCTCTTGTACTTTTTTAGTTTGTGATTTAGCATGTTCAGGCATAGCAGATATAGTAGATATGATAGTCACTAGTTACTAGTGCTTTAGATATGAGAATGAGTTAGAGGTAAAGTGATTTCTGAGGAGTAAAAAGTAAGATACCTAGTCCTTATATACCTTTCTTATAGAATATTCTAGAGATAATATTATTAATAAAAATATGTAGAACTATCTAGAAGTATCTAGTAATAACTAGTATTATTACTTATAATTATAATTATAATAATATATAGAAATATATAGAAATATCTAGTAATAACTAGTAATATTACTTATAATAATAATAATAATAATAATAATAATATATAAGAGTATCTAGAAGTATCTAGTAGTAGCTACTACTATTATTTATAATTATAACTATAATAATATGTATGTTGTATAGTATTAATTAATAGTTTACTGAGCTCGAGAGTTGTTGTTGATACCGCTGCGAAGGTCACGTGACCTTCGCAGCGGTATCAACAACAACTCTCGTTTCACAGTCAATATTGCTGAATTTTTATCTTGTCTTGTAATAAATATTTTTACACAAAATTTTAAATAACAGTAGTTAATGTAGCTAGCTTTATTATTGTAATTTTTATTTTAATAATTATTAACATAATATTCATTAATTGTCCTTACAAAATTTCACAGGGGTAAAAATCATCACTGTTTCAACAGTATTTTGTTCATAATTTTATTAATTTTTAATATTTTTTCTTACTTTTTTTTTGCTGACTTCTAATTGAATTTCTATTATTATTATATTTTTTGTAGCAAGAAAAAATGTGTTGTTGTTGTGTAAAAAGGCATGTGTTACAAGGACTGGTCCATGATGGTAATTGCTGATTATGCATATTTGGCTCTCTATCCACCAATGTGTTTATTGTAAGTACAGAGAAATATTCATATTTTACTACACTTTTCGAGTCCAAAATCATTTTTGGTTGGCAGTATTCTAGCCATCTCACCTTTTTCATCAATATGTATGTATTTCTGTATTGAAACACATTAGTACAATACAAGTCAGTATCTTAATTAGAGTCCCAGAGTGAGAACAAGATTTGAATCAACCCTGCATAATTTACAGCAAATTGTCTCAAGGTGTTGCTTCTCAGTTACTAGGGTGCTATCATAGTACTGTATACACACTAGTATGTTGTCCTACTGACAATGTTTATGCATAGGGTTGTGTTGGATTTTATGTCTCATTTACTAGTATAGCACAATGTATCTAGTATATAAGGGCATGCATATATGTGCATATATTTAAGTGCTATTCCAAACTCTCTGTTCTAACAGTTGTCTTTAAAATATGCTGGTAGTAACAACAGCCTTTGTCACAAAAGATTACCTGAGGTTAACAATATGCCTTAGTATTGGTTGTATACACCAGGGTGCATGAGATGAAGAGAATATCTGGGTAAACAATCAATACTGTAGATGACAAGTGCATGTAACATTGTGTATCTGTACTAGAGGACAACACTACAACCCAACTCCTAAGACATATGATTGGGTTGAGGGCAAAAGTTGAGCACTTAAACACTGTACTGGCCATGCTAGCAATACATTCAAGCTGTGATCACAGTTTGACACTAAGGGCTATTCAAAATTTCAACTTGTCAAAAGAAGCAATGACTGTGTAATTGGGTGACTTCCTGTTATAGTTACTGTTGTCCAGTCCAGGACTGCTGTGGACCGGGTCCAGACCTGGACTGGACCTCTGGTCTGGTCTGATTGAGGTCCGGTCCAGTTGGGTCCAACAGGGGTCCAGTCTGTGGTCCAGTGTTTGACAAAAATTTCCAGACTGCTTTAGACCACCTGGACCCTGGACTAGACTGTGGACTGTTTATATTGTAGATACTACTTCTTTAAGACATACAAATGGACTGTACAGAGCCTAATAGATGTGAACTACTCTTACATATATTGTATAGTGTATTGTATACCCTTTAAGCATACAAATAGACTATACTGTGTCTTACAGATGTAAACAGCAGTTTATATTAACTATAGGAACTGATTTCTATTACACTAGTACTTCTTGTGTTTTACACTTAGTATAATACAAATAATAAAAGTAATTGTATTCTGATACATATAAGCTTACATATATTCAGAAACATATTATTATAGTACTTAATAGTATATCTATCTTATATAATATGTTAATAAGACAGAATTATTTTAATATATATTATATAATTGGTCCAGAGGTCCGGACCAGGTTCAGACCTGGACTGGACTGCTGGTCCAGTCCACAAGAGGTCCAGCTGGGTCTGGTCTGAGGTCCAGGATTTCATAAGAAATTGGTCCTAGTCTGGTTCATAGTCTAGCAAAAACCTGTCTGGACCAGACCTGGACTGGACTGTGGCAACTATACTTCCTGTAGACTTTTGGAAGGATTTCCAGGTTAAAAAGGTACTAGAAAAGGAGTAGTCTGAATATAAGTAAAGGGTAGTAAGAGTAAGCAATATGAGAACTGAATAACACACATAGTTTGTTGTCTTCCAGTCTGAAAATCTGTAAGGAGGGTCTGACCCCCCCTTTCAGAGTAGAAAGTTGTTCCATCCATCAAGTACCTGCCTTAAAAGGTATAAGTAAGATCATACAGATCTTATCCATACCCTTTTTGTACAGAAATGTGTCAGATGTTGCCTTAAGTGAAATAGAATCAAAATGATCTAACAACTGTAGAAAAATGTGCTACAGTCTGGAATAATTTTTTTTATTTTGCTTATAAGACAGGTACAAGTATTTTGGATTTTGGAAGCTTCCAAAATCCTACAGGAAGTCACCCATTATGTAGTCATTCTAGAACAGCGAATTGGTTTGATTGCTTGCTTCTGAATATGGAAATATTACTTATTACTCATCTATACCTTACTCTGAACTGCAACTGAATCCACAGTGTGTTGAATACTCCCCTTCAAGCCCTAATATTCTGTCATTAATGTTGAAGACCTATAAGTTCTATTAGGTGCTTGATTTGAGGGACATAAAGTGCTTTTGTAAGGATGTCTGCAAGTTGGTTCTGTGTTTAAACATAATGTATGTTGATGTAGTTGTTCTGAATGTAACAGTAGACAAAGTCCTTTTGCAAATTGAGGTGTTTTGTTCAAGCATTGAAAGTGATCTCCTCAGATTTGACAGTTTGTATTGCTCCCTGATTGTTGCAATAGACTGTAATGGGTGCCAATTCTGTCTACAGTACTTCCTCAGCAAGTTGTTTGAGCCAAATGGCCTCTTGAGTTGTATATGCCAGTGCTTGCAACTCTGCTTTGTAAGTTAATAGTGGTACCAGATTCTGTTGTTTGCTTGACCAAGATATTGTTTGCTTTCCCAGCTGGAATACATATCTGTTAATTGATTGGTGTCCTTCTGTCATTTGTCTGTCAGCATTACAGTACCCTTGTATGGTCAATGTATTTGTGCCTCTGAGATGAAGCCAGTAGTTTGTAGTTCCTTTTAGGTACTGGAAGCAATGTTTTGCTGCTTTGTAGTAGCTCATATTCAGTTGTTGTAGATAGTATACTAATTGGCCCATAATGTATGCAATGTCTGGCTGAGTGCAATCTGCTGCATAGTGTAATGATCCTACCATATTCATGTACAGTATTGTTTGTATAAATCATTTGTTGTCAATTGTATCATTCATACTTGTTAAGTATGTCTCAGGCATCATAGGAGTTTGTAGTGGTTTTTCGTTCTCAAGCTTAAATCATTGTATTATACTCTGGATATAGTGACTTTGCTGTAAGCAGATTGTTCTCCATTGTCTATTTCTTTAGATTTCGATTCCTAGAAGCCAGTGTATTTTGTTTCTGTCTGTAAATGTAACATATTGTTTTAATACTTCTTTGAATACATTCACTATGGTGATGTTTTCACCAATAATAGTAATATTGTCAATGTGCATGAATGTTATTAATATTGTTTCATTATGCCTTTTCTTATAGAATACAGTATTGTCATAGTTTGCTTGTTGCAATCCTATTTTGTGCAGTATATCTGTAATTTTCTTATACCATCATTGTCCTGCTTGTTTTAGTCTGTATAGTGCTTTATTTAATTTTAGCACTTGACCAGGTTTGATATTGTTTAGTAATTTACCCAGTGGAGGTCTCACATAGATATGTTCGTCTTCGTTTAATTCTCTGTAAAGATATACAGATTTTACATCTATTTAATGTATTTTATAGTCTTTAGACACTGCCCAGCTTAATAATAATTGTACCATAGTTAATTTTGTAACTGGAGCAAATAGGTTGTCTGAATAGAAGTCTATTCCATCCTTTTGGGCATAACCCTGTACTACTAGTTGTGCTTTGTATTTGTCTATATTACTGTTAGCTAGTTGTTTTAATTTGTAGACAAATCTTGTTCTAATTATATTTGTGTCTGTTGGTAGGTATGTATATTCCCATGTATTGCATAATCATAATGCTATTATTTCTTTGTTCATAGCTTTGATCCATTGTGCTTTATTGTTATTTGTTATAGCATTGTAATACATTAATGGATCATTATATACTTTGTTAAGTAGTTTGTTAAATTCCATTAGATATATTGCTAGATTTATTTCATTGTTGTAGTTTAATCCTCTAGCATGTTTTGTTACTTGTTGTTCACAAGTTGATTGTTGTAACTTGTTATTGTTATCATTATTATTTGTTCTGTTTGTTCTGTTATTATTGTTATTATTATTATTCGTTCCATTTGTTCCATTCATATTATTATTACTGTTGTTCATTCTGTTATTTGTTCTGTTAGTTCTGTTCATTCTGTTATTATTATTGTTATTATTATTATTCTCCCCTTCAATTCTAGATGATTGTACATCTATGAATTGCAGGTTTTGTTCAACTGTTATTTTATTATTGTGCCATGTTATATGGCCTTTACTTTCGTTATTGTTGCCTAACCATTGTGCATATTTACCTCTAGGCTCTAGTTTGTGTGTATTTTCGTTCTGTATGACACAATATGCTCCAAATTCTCGTATGTTATCAATA